GCAAGATTCCCACAAAAGGAGGCGTTGATTCATGATTTTGATTCAAGTCCATTGAGAACCATTTTTCTATTTGTGTCTTTTGCTCACTCGATTTTTTAAGTCCTAATAAGATCAAGCTCTCATCTCCATTAATCCACTATGGCAGGATCTTTATGAAGACTACAATTCCCATGATCCCCAGACAATGGGACAGTAGGATAGGGAATTCTGGGAATTGTAGTCATGATAATACCTCATGACTTGAAAATAAAATTCATTGGAGGGGCAAATAATAATATAATACTATAATAATAATAATAATAATAATAATAATAATAATAATAATAATAACAATAATAATACAATAACAATATAATATAATAATATTATAATCATATAATAAAATAATAATAATATAAGAAAATATATTATTATAATATAATAATTATAATATATTTGATATAATATAATAAAAATATAATATAATAAAAATATAATATAATAATATCAAATTAATTAATTATTAAATTAATTATTTTAATTGTGTATTGCGGTTTTTGCTGATGTTGCTTGTAATTTGTCTTTTGTAAATTTGCCTTTTTGTAGTGTACACCGCCGTGAGTCGCCCGCAAGGGCTGAGAAGGGCGGTTAATAAATGCATAAATAAATAAATAAATAAATAAATATCAAAGGAACATAATAAAAATATAATAATTATAATATATTTGATATAATATAATAATAAAATAATATAATATCAGACAACAGGGTAGGGAATTGTGGGAATTGTAGTCACGATCCTACCCCATTTATTTATTTATTTATTTATTTATTTATTTATTTATTTACTTTGCTTATATACCGCTGTATCTCAAGCCCGAAGGCGCCTCACGGCGGTTCACAAACAGTAAAAACAGTAGAAACAGCAGTGGTTCCATACAACATATAACAATTGACTTAACACATTATCCATAAATTACCAATAAGCAATTACAATGCACAATTATTACGAAAACAACTGTACCCAATCTTCTCATCATCCAAGCGTAGTCCAGGTTCGTCGTCCATTATTCCATTCCTATGTTCCATTACCAGATTGCACTAAATTACTCAAACGCCTGCACAAACATCCAGGTCTTCACCTTTTTGCGGAATACCATTAGAGATGGTGCTAGTCTAATGTCCGTAGGAAGGGCGTTCCACAGCCGAGGAGCCACCACCGAGAAGGCCCTATCTCTCGTCCCCGCCAGCCGAGCTTGAGAAGCAGGCGGGATCGAGAATGAAAATAAAATTCATTATAATACTATAATGATAATAATATCCAATAATATCCAATAGTAGTATAATAAAATAAAAATATAATGCAATAATTATATAATATAAAATATATAATTTAATAATATAATAAAATAAAAATATAATACAATAATAATATAATAAAATATAATATAATAAAATAAAAGTATAATGCAATAATAATATAATATAATAAAAATATAATTTAATAATATAATAAAATAAAAATATAATGCAATAATAATATAATAAAATATATTGCAATAATAATTTAATAAAATAAAAGTATAATGCAATAATAATATAATATAATAAAAATATAATATAATAATATAATAAAATAAAAGTATAATACAATAATAATATAATAAAATATAATTTAATAATATAATATAATAATAAAATAATAATATAATATAATAATATAATATAATAAAAGTATAATACAATAATAATATAATAAAATATAATTTAACAATATAATATAATAATAAAATAATAATATAATAAAATAAAAATATAATAATATAATATAATCATAATAATATAATAATATAATATGATAATATAATATTGTAATTATAATATAAATAAAATGTAATGTTCGTTTGTGGGATTGTGGGATTAACATTGTGCTATCTGAATAAAATATTGTATTGTATATACATATAATATTAAGAATGTTGTAATATAAAACTAATGATAATATTGTTAATAATATTATGCAATACAAGATGTTAATAAGAATATAATCTATATAAAAAATGTAATGTTCATTTGTGAGATTAACGTAACTCAAAAACCACAGGACAAATTGACACCAAATTTGGACAAAATGCACGTATTAGGCCAATGAGTGACCATCACCCATAAAAACACCGAGAAACACAGAAGAGACTTTAAAATGCCATTTTTAAAATAAAAAAAATATAACATATGCAAAACCACAACGCACATATGCACAGACTGGGCCACAGCAACGTGTGGCAGGAGACTGCTAGTAATAAATATAATAATACAATATAATATAAATAATATTATAATTTGATATAAAATAATAATAATATAATAGCCACTTCTTGTGACATGATTAATTATTTGGTGAGTCAGTCCTCTTGTTGTTCTAATTCAGTAGTTTATTATTATTATTATTACTCTACACCGGTGCTTTTTACCCAAATTAGCTTTGTACGCAAAAAAATTGAATATCGTTCAAAATATTATTTATTTATTGCTTGTTTGCATACAAACACATTTGGTTTAGTTTTCGTTCTAATTCAGTAGATTATTATTATTATTATTATTATTATATTATCATTATTACTATTATTATTATACACCGGTGCTTTTTACCCAAATTAGCTTTGTATGCAAATAAATTGTATATTGTGCAAAATATTATTTATTTATTGCTTGTTTGCATAGAAACACATTTGGTTTGGTTTTCGTTCTTATCGGCATATCAGGTCAGTGTGGCAAGTTGGGTCCAGACCCATCAGTGTTTGGGTTCACATTCCTCTCTGGATGTAGGTGAACTACAACTCCCCCAAATCAAGGTGAATTTTCCCCAAAGACCTCCAGTATTTTTTGCTGGCTGTGGACACTCTGTATGCCAAGTTTGGTCCAATTCTGACTTTGGTGAAGTTCAGAGTGCTCTTTGATTTCAGGCAAACTATACATCCCAGTACCTACAACTCCTATAAACTCTGTATTGTTGCTGGCAAATTCCTCTGTCTCCGGCCAGTCCTGTGCTGAAATGTATTGATAAACCACAGTGTATCCATACATTTCAGGAAGATTCCACCTCAGAGATTCCACCTCGACATTAGGAAGAACTGATAGTAGGAAGAGCTGTTCAGCAGTGGAACTCACTGCTTCGGAGTCTGGTGGAAGCTCCTTCCTTGGAGGCTGGATGGCCATCTGCTGGGGAAAGGAGCTTCCACCAGACTCCGAAGCAGCGAATTCCATTGCTGAAGATGGTGGTGGATTATAAAGAAAGATTATTATTATTATATTATTTTTATTATATTGCAATAATATTGTTCTAATATTATAATGATTATATTTTTATTACGTTCTTCTGATATATTATTTTATTATTATATCAAATATATTATAATTATATATATTAAAATTCATTGGAGGGGCAAATAATAATATTATAATACTATAATAATAATAACGACAATAATAATACAATACTAATATAATATAATAACAATATAATATAACATAATAATATACTATAATAAATAAAATAATAAAAAATCATATAATAATATATTAATAATATAAGAAAATATAATATTATTATATTATAAGTATTATATTTTAATATGTTCTGATAGTATATTATTTTATTATTATATTATATCAAATATATTATAATATATTTTTATTATGTTCCTTTGATATTATTATATTATATTTTTATTATATTATATTTTTATTATATTATATCAAATATATTATAATTATTATATTATAATAATATATTTTCTTATATTATTATTATTTTATTATATGATTATAATATTATTATATTATATTGTTATTGTATTATTATTGTTATTATTATTATTATTATTATTATTATAGTATTATATTATTATTTGCCCCTCCAATGAATTTTATTTTCAAGTCATGAGGTATTATCATGACTACAATTCCCAGAATTCCCTATCCTACTGTCCCATTGTCTGGGGATCATCGGAATTGTAGTCTTCATAAAGATCCTGCCATAGTGGATTAATGGAGATGAGAGCTTGATCTTATCTTATGGCCATCCAGCCTCCAAGGAAGGAGCTTCCACCAGACTCCAAAGCAGTGAGTTCCACTGCTGAACAGCTCTTCCTACGATCAGGATGTTCTTCCTAACGTCGAGGTGGAATCTCCTTTCCCGGAGGCTGAATGGCCATCTGTCGGGGGGGCTTTGATGGTGCTTTTCCTGCCTGGCGGATTGGAGCTAGACTGGATGGCCCCGTGTGGTCTCTTCCAACTTTATTATTCTATAGGAAATTATATTTTTAATCCAGGAACAAAAATAATGTAGTCATGATAATACCTCATGACTTGAAAATAAAATTCATTGGAGGGGCAAATAATATTATTATCATATAATAAAATAATAATAATAATAATAATAATAATAATAAAATCATATAATAATAATATAAAAGAAATACATTTGATATAATATAATAATAAAATCATATAATAATGTAATAATATCAGAATATAGTAAAAATATAATATAATTATTATAATATTATAATAATATTATTTTAATATAATAATTATAATATATTTGATATAATAATAAAATCATAATACTGTAATAATATCAGAAGAATATAGTAAAAATATAATATAATAATAATATAATAATATTATTTTAATATAATATTTATAATATATGTGATATATAATAATGAAATCATATAATAATGTAATAATATCAGAATATAGTAAAATATAATATAATTATTATAATATTATAATATTATTTTAATATTATTAAAATATAATAATAATAATAATAATAATAATAATAATTTTTATTTATAACCCGCCACCATCTTCCCCAATAGTGTTGTTGTTATTGTTATTGTTATAATGATGATGTTTATTTATACACAACGAGACTCATACCGGCTAATATCAAGTGCCTTCTATCACTATGGCTCTACTTCTATTCGAATGCCTCTCTTGATTTTCGTTGACAGACACTTCTCCGACGACGCGATCCCCATTCCACTCGACAGTGGCGCAGAACTTGGCTTCGCTTTCCCTCCGCCTTTGCCTTCTCCCGCCGCCTTTTTCCCAGCCCGGCCCTACGCTTTGCCGTTCGCACCGCCGCTCTTCCGCTCCCCGCGACGGACCTCCTCGTCCTCTCTTCCGGGGCGCCTCAACCGGGCTCTGTCCTTGGGCACTACCCCTTCCCTGGCCAGGACTGGTAAGAAAATCTGGGATCATGTTGCAACTCCACCTCTGACTTTAAACACCACAGTAGTTGGGTAAATCAGCAAGCAGTTTATTTAAGAACACAAGTCCCCAAAGCAGCAAACGGTAAACCACAGTAAAAAGTAATCAAATTGATATAAAAGGGACAAAAAGTCCAAGGAAATTCATGAAACGAGGCATTTGAATTCATAAAAGGACAGAAGCATACTCCATAGGATAACCGTGAGCTAAAGCAGACCTTGATGCTGGAACCTTGGCGTTAATCTGACATTGCTTCAACTGAAGCAGTATTTATGGCTTTTGTTGTTTTATTGCTTTTATATGGTTTATATTATATGTAATGTTTTAACTGTATATTTAACCATGAGCTAAGGCAGACCTTGATGCTGGAACCTTGGCATTAATCTGACGTTGCTTCAACTGAAGCGGAATTTATGGCTTTTGTTGTTTTATTGCTTTTATATGGTTTATATTATATGTAATGTTTTAACTGTATTTAACCATGAGCTAAGGCAGACCTTGATGCCGGAAACTTGGCGTTAATCTGACATTGCTTCAACTGAAGCGGAATTTATGGCTTTTGTTGTTGTATTGCTTTTATATGGTTTATATTATATGTAATGTTTTAACTGTATTTAACCATGAGCTAAGGAACACCTTGATACTGGAAACTTGGCGTTAATCTGACGTTGCTTCAACTGAAGCGGAATTTATGGCTTTTGTTGTTTTATTGCTTTTATATGGTTTATATTATATGTAATGTTTTAACTGTATTTAACCATGAGCTAAGGCACACCTTGATACTGGAAACTTGGCGTTAATCTGACGTTGCTTCAACTGAAGCAGTATTTATGGCTTTTGTTGTTTTATTACTTTTATGTGGTTTATATTATATGTAATGTTTTTAATTGTATTTTATGTTGTTTGGGGGCATTGACTGCCGACTGTAAACTGCCTCGAGTCGCTTTCGGGCTGAGAGGGGCGGTATATAAATATGATAAATAAATAAATGAATAATATTTCTCACTAGTCACTTATAAACCCTGTCCTAATTCCCAAACAGCTAAGAACGGATTCTTTCTTAATTTCGGTTTCAAATCCAACTTCTGTTTGGAGTCATCTCCATTCCCATCATGCAAATCAACATGATCACCAGGCACTATGACAGGGTGAACAGACTGACATACAATATTATTATTATTATTATTATTATTATTATTATTATTATTATTATATTATCATCATTATTATTCTATTATTATTATCATTATATTCTATTCTTCTATTTTACTTTACTTCTTCTATTATTATTCTATTATTATTATTATTCTATTATTATTCTATACTTAGTTTATTATTATTATTATTAATCTATTATTATTATTAATAATATTATTATTCTATTATTATCATCATCATTATTATTCTATTCTTCTATTTTACTTTACTTCTTCTATTATTATTCTATTATTATTATTATTCTATACTTAGTTTATTATTATTATTATTAATCTATTATTATTATTAATAATAATATTATTATTCTATTATTATCATCATCATTATTATTCTATTCTATTTTACTTTACTTACTTTACCTCTTCTATTATTATTATATTATTATTATATTATTCTATACTATTATTAATAATATTCTATTATTATCATCATTATTATTCTATTCTTCTATTTACGTCTTCTATTATTATTATTCTATTATTATTCTATACTTCTATTAGTATTAATCTATTAGAAGTAAAGTAAGTAAAGTAAAGCAAAATGGAAGAAAAGAATAATGATAATAGAATAATATTAATATCATTATTATTTTCTTCCATTTTGCTTTACTTTACTTACTTTACTTCTATTATTATATTATTATAATATTATTATTATTATTCTATATTTCTATATTATTATTAATCTATTATTAATATTATTATTCTATTGTTATCATCATTATTCTATTCTTCTATTTTACTTTACTATACTTCTTCTTTTATTATTATAATATTATTATTATATTATTATTCTATACTTTAATCTATTATTATTATTATTATTCTATTCTTCTGTTTACTTACTTTACTTCTATTATTATATTTTTATTCTATTATTATTCTATACTTATAATCTATTATTATTATTATTCTATTATTTTACTTTACTTACTTTACTTCTTCTATTATTATATTATTATTATTCTATTATTATTCTATACTTCTATTATTATTATTATTATTATTGTGTATTTTTTTTCCTAAATGTCAAAAGCTGAGGAGAGCTTTGGGTAATCAATCCTGGGATATCGGGCCTGCCTGGAAGGACCCTAAGTCTAAAATTTAGACCGTGGGCCGAGGAAAGGACCTCGAAGGGCCGTATACGGCCCGCGGGCCGGAGTTTTGGGACACCTCTGTTCTAGACCCCCCAATGCGATTCATTAGTTATTTCCTGGCCCACGTTGACCATCAGAGTTAGAAGTAAGGTTTATACATCTGTACAGAGGTGTTCTACCAAAAAAAATGGTATCTAATTTTATAAATTTTATAAATGACAGATTCGGGATACCTGTTCAGCGGGAGCCGGCCCCCTTCGCAGATGTCCTTCTCCAAGGAGTCGCCGACATCAGGTAAGAAAGAAGTCTTGAGACATGATCCGAGTCGTAAATAATGGAGATAGGAAGACGCGAAAGGATGAATCCTCCCTCTAGGATTCTTGCTTTGTTATAGCGTTGTTTGTGTTGCTTTGTCCTTTGACTTGAGCTGCAAGTAGAGGCGGGCAATACGTTGTTGTTGTTGTTCTTATTTTTATTACATGTACATTATTATCGTTAATATTATTATTATTGGAGCCCTTGGTGGCACAATGGGTTAAACCACTGAGCGGGTAATAAATGAAACTGATGATGATGATGATGGTGATGGTGATGGTGGTGGTGATGATGGTGATGCTGATGGTGATGGTGGTGATGGTGATGATGGTGGTGGTGATGACGGTGATGATTATGGTGATGATGATGGTGATGCTGATGATGGTGGTGATGATGGTGATGATGATGATGGTGGTGATGATGATGGTGATGATGATGGTGATGGTGGTGGTGATGACGGTGATACTGATGGTGATGATGGTGATGGTGATGATGATGGTGGTGGTGATGATGATGGTGGTGGTGGTGATGATGGTGGTGATGATGATGGTGGTGATGATGGTGGTGATGGTGGTGATGATGATGGTGATGATAGTGATGGTGGTGGTGATGATGGTGGTGATGGTGGTGGTGATGGTGATGATGATGATGCTGATGGTGGTGGTGATGATGATAGTGATGATGATGGTGGTGGTGATGGTGATGCTGATGGTGATGATGATGGTGATGATGATGGTGATGATGGTGGTGATGGTGATGCTGATGGTGATGATGATGATGCTGATGGTGGTGGTGATGATAGTGATGATGATGGTGGTGGTGATGATGGTGATGTTGATGGTGATCATGATGGTGATGATGGTGGTGGTGATGACAGCGATGATGATGGTGATGATAATGATGATGAGGATGATGGTTATGATGGTGATGATGATGATGATGGTTATGATGGTGATGGTGATGGTGGTGATGACGGTGATGATGATGGTGATGATGATGGTGGTTGTGATGGTGGTGTCTGATGCTTGCCACAGATGCAGGCAAAATGTCAGGAGAGGATGCTTCTAGAACATGGCCATACAGCCCAAAAGACCTACAACAACCCAAAGGTGTCACTGTCTCAGCCACATATGTGGAACAATTGTGGAGAATTTCAGGCTTCTAGGTAAAGGATACTCATCTGATTCTCTCTCTCTTGCCTCCCTTTCCCAGAATATTTCTCGCTCTTCTCCGGAAGCTGTTTCCCTTCCCCGGCGCCGTCACCTGCCCCGTCCGTGGCCGGTTCCGTGGCCTCGAGTTCGGGTTCCTTGCGCTACCGCCGACCGCTCATCAGCCCGGCCCGGCTCAACTTAAAGGGCCAGCGCCTGATGCTCTTCTCGACCCAAAATGGGGTCTCCTCCGGCGAAGACTTTGCCCCGTCGGAAAACCACGATTTGCCCACTTTCCCCAAGAGGAACCACATTGAGAGAGAAATGCATGGTGGGTGCATCTCCATAGTCCATACTGGTAACCTCTTATTTATTACTTTACTATTATTATTATTATTATTAGATTTACATTATTTTACTATACTATTATTTTTATTATTACATTTATTATTTCACTCTATTATTATTACTACCTTTACATTATTTTACTGTACTATTATTTTATTGCATTTATTATTTTGCTCTATATGTTGTTATTATTATTATTACATTTATTATTTTACTGTGTTATTATTATTATTACATTTATTATTTTACTCTATATTATTATTATTATTATTACCTTTACATTATTTTACTGTACTTTTATTTTTATTACATTTATTATTTTACTCTATATGTTATTATTATTATTATTATTATTATTATTATATTTATTAATATATTTATTATTTTACTCTATTTATTATTATTACCTTTACATTATTTTACTGTACTATTATTTTTATTATTGCATTTCTTATTTTGCTCTGTGTGTTATTATGATTATTACCTTTATTATTTTACCCTATTTATTATTATTATTAGCTTTATTTTACTGTACTTATTTTTATTACACTTATTATTTTACTCTATGTGTTATTATTATTATTATTACATTTATTATTTTACTCTATTCATTATTATTATTACCTTTACATTATTTTACTGTACTATTATTTTTATTACATTTATTATTTTACTCTATATGTTATTATTATTATTATATTTATTATTTTACTCTATTTATTATTATTTCCTTTATTATTTTACTCTATTTAATATTATTACCTTTACATTATTTTACTGTACTATTTTTATTATTGCATTTATTATTTTGCTCTGTGTGTTATTATGATTACTACATTTATTATTTTACTCTATTTATTATTATTATGAGCTTTACATTATTTTACTGTACTATTATTTTTATTACATTTATTATTTTACTCTACTTATTATTATTTCCTTTATTATTTTACTCTATTTATTATTATTTCCTTTATTATTTTACTCTATTTAATATTATTATTAGCTTTACATTATTTTACTGTACTTATTTTTATTACATTTATTATTTTACTCTATGTGTTATTATTACTATTACATTTATTATTTTACTCTGTGTTATTATTATTATTATTATTACATTTATTATTTTACTCTATTTATTATTATTATTATGAGCTTTACATTATTTTACTGTACTATTATTTTTATTATATTTATTATTTTACTCTATTATTATTATTATTACTTTTACATTATTTTACAGTGCTATTATTTTATTACATTGATTATTTAAATCTATTTATTATTATTATTATTATTACCTTTAAATTATTTTACTGTACTATTATTTTGATTACATTTATTATTTTATTCTATGTTATTATTTTTATTACACTTATTTTTTTACTCTATTTATTATTATTATTACCTTTACATTATTCGGGCCGGCTTATACCCGAGTATATACGGTATTCCCGCTCCTTGCAAACCCTTCTTTCTCTGTCTGCAGATCCCAGGACAGTCCTGGAGGCGGGCAGCCTCTGCAGCGAGAGCTCCGTGAAGAAGAGGGATGACTCCTCGCACGGCTCCAGCTGCGTGGTGGACACCACCACCAACGGCGAGGAGAGCGCCGGCTGGAAGGGTGAGTGCCAAAACCGTAACGTTGTCGTTGGGCACCACACGTCCTGATTCGATTGAGATTCCCGAACTCAGAAGCTTTCCTCAATTCTCGTGAGAGCAAACGCGCAGCGAACGTCGCTGCGAGTTTTCCCTGCTGGGAAGCATTCTCTCCTGACATTTCGCCCACATCTCTGGTAGGCATCCTCAGAGGTTGTGAGGTCTGTTGGAAACTAGGAAAAATGGATTTATATATCCAGGGTGGGAAAAAGAACTCTTGCCTGCTGGAGGCAAGTGTGAATGTTGCATTAGCATTGAATGGCCTTTCAGCGTCAAAGCCTGGCTGCTTCCTGTCTGGGGGAATCCTTTGTTGGGAGGTGTTATCTGGCTAGTGAAGTTTATGTATCTGTGGAATAATGTCCTGGGTGGGAGAACGTTGCAATTGGCCTACTTGATTAGCATTGCATGGCCTTGCAGCTTCAAAGCCTGGCTGCTTCCTGCCTGGGGGAATCCTTTGTTGGGAGGTGTTATCTGGCTAGTGAGGTTTATGTAGCTCTGGAATAATGTCCAGAGTGGGAGAACGTTGCAGTTGGCCAGCTTGACTAGCATTGAATGGCCTTGCAGTTTCAAAGCCTGGCTACTTCCACCTGGGGGAATCCTTTGTTGGGAGGTGTTATCTGGCAAGTGAGGTTTATGTATCTGTGGAATAATGTCCAGGGTGGGAGAAGGTTGCAGTTGGCCAGCTTGATTAGCATTGAATGGCCTTGCAGCTTCAAAGCCAGGCTGCATCCTGCCTGGGGGAATTCTTTGTTGGGTGGTGTTAGTTGTCCCTGACTTTTTCCTGTCTGGAATTCCTCTGTTTTTTTATTATTGACAGTCCTGGCTGTTTCTTGTCGCTTAATTCCTTCTCTCTTGTGTTTTGGTTTCGGCGAAGGTCGCGTGGGCTGCTGGTCTCTCCGGGGCCTCCTCGCCGTGAGCCTGACCCTCAACGCCGTCTTCACCTCGGCCTTCCTCTACCGGAACCTGCGGTGAGAGACGAGATCCACGTCAGAGGCCGGCTCCTTCCTCTCTCTCCTTCCTCGCGATCGGCGCCACGTTTCCTCCGAAGGACCTGAAAGAGCCGGACAACGGATGAAAAATAGGAGGAGAGTGGACATTTGGCCGAGGGCCGCTATGCTTCATTTTTTTTGTGTGGGACGGCATTTGACGGGCTCCAAAACACGGGAGTCCATCCCCGTTGGGTCTCCTCGCTTTGTCGCTTCTCTCCTTCGAGGACAACAAACTTTCCGTTTTGGGATCCTCGCTCAAACCGGCCTGCATTTCATTCCTCCCTGTCTGGCTCCGGCCACTTTCCCGGTGCTGAAGTTTGTATCAAGTCAGAACTTATTTTTCCCTTTAGCCAAACTTTTATTATTATTTTAACAACCCAATCCCACAGCCCTGTTTTTGCCTTACAAAGGGGCACCACTTCTACTGTAACGAGACGAAAACGCCTCAATTGTACTGTAACGGCACAAGCATTTTGTTTTTGTTTCGAGCTCCGTCGGAGTGGGCGCTGCAACGATACGAAAACACCCCAATTATACAGTAACGATACACACTCTTTGTTTTCGTTTCGAACTCCATCGGAGTGGACGCTGCAATGATACGAAAACACCCCGATTATACAGTAACGATACACATGTTTTGTTTTCGTTTCGAGCTTTGGCGGAGTGGGCGCTGCAACGATACAAAAACACCCCAATGATACAGTAACGATACATGCGTTTTGTTTTCGTTTCAAGCTCTGTCGGCGTGGGCACTGCAACGATACGAAAACACCCCAATTATACAGTAACGATACACACGTTTTGTTTTCGTTTCGAACTCCGTCGGAGTGGGCACTGCAACGATATGAAAACACCCCAATTATACAGTAACGATACACACGTTTTGTTTTCGTTTCAAGCTCTGTCGGTGTGGGCACTGCAACGATACGAAAACACCCCAATTATACAGTAACGATACACATATTTTGTTTTCGTTTCGAGCTCTGTCGGAGTGGGCACTGCAACAATACGAAAACACCCCAATTATACAGTAACGATACACGCGTTTTGTTTTCGTTTCAAACTCCGTCAGCGTGGGCGCTGCAACAATACGAAAACTCCCTGATTATACTGTAACTATACACATGTTTTGTTTTCGTTTCGAGCTCTCTCGGCGTGGGCACTGTAACAAAACGAAAACACCTCGATTAGACAGTAACGATACTCACTTTTTGTTTTCATTTCGATCTCTGATGGCGTGGGCTTTTGGAGACATGACCTGTTGACACATGCTGCTTTACTGAAAATGCTGCAATCTGCGGAGGAGAATGCAGCCTTTGTCTGTTCTTTCGGTGGCGACCGTACCACTGAAGCGACCTCGCCTCCTCCTCAAACACCCGCAACGTCTCTCAATGCAAAAACATATCCTTCCCGTTCTCTACTTTGATGTAATCTCAACGAAGGGAGGTTTTGGGAAGCCTATCTCCTATTCAGCTTATCAAAACATTGTTCGGCCTGTGTTTTTACAATACCGCTTCAAATTCCAACAATACAGTAGAGCCTCGCTTATCCGACCTTCGCTTATCCGACAGCATTTCCCGTTTCATTAACTAAGGGTTATTTGAGTCCCTGTTAGTATTCTAGGTGTCTAACGCCACGTCGAAACTCCATATTATCTGACATTTTCATCTAAGTAATGAGACTCCGGATTATCCAACATTTTTGTCTAAGTAATGCCGCGTTTAGACTCTGTATTATCCGACAGTTTTGTCTAAGTAACGCCGTGTTCAGACACTGTATTATCCAACATTTTTGTCTAAGTAATGCCGCGTCGAGACTCCGTATTATCTGACATTTTTGTCTAAGTAACGCTGCGTCGAGACTCCAGATTATCCAATATTTTAGTCTAACGCTGCATTGAGATTCCGTATTATCTGACATTTTTGTCTAAGTAATGCCGTGTCGAGACTCCATATTATCTGACATTTTTGTCTAAGTAACGCCGCGTTTAGACTCCATATTATCCGACATTTTTGTTTAAGTAACGGCGCGTTGAGACTCCATACTATCCAACATTTTGTCTAAGTAACGCCGTGTCGAGACTCTATATTATCTGACATTTTTGTCTAATGCCGCATTGAGACTCCTGATTATCTGACATTTACATCTATCTGACATTCGGCCGGCCCATTGATGTTGGATAAGCGAGATTCTACTGTATATATTCCTATATCGGAAGGAAGGAGGAAAATCCCTGCCTATAGACATCTAGATCTTGTATACAACATCCTTGCATCGAGAAATCTAGCTCCTCTCCAAAAAGGAAGATGAAATTTTCACTGGTGCTAAAACACAGAATTTGTTTTCTCCCATCTGCCAAAAAAAAAAAAAAAAAATCAGATATTTTGCCCCCTGTGCCAGACTCGGGACTTCGATTCCCAGAACCAACTCGTAACGGTAACGGTGCTAGAACACGGATTTGCTGCACACACCATGTCCATGTCCCAAACGTCATGTGACGGGTGTCTTAACTTCTTGGGACCTTAATGCCGTTTAGGACACATTTCTCGTGCTTGACGTTTTGCAAAATGGGGAAATGATAATTCCACCTTTTTCTGGAATCAAAACGCAGGTATCTTTGATATTCTCGCATCCATCGGCCCTGCAATCTTTCGTGCGTCTAAGATGTTGGACACTTCAAAAGACATTGACTCTTATCCTAAACCAACTCCATGAGGACTAGCTCCTTGAATGTAGAAGCAACCGCCTTCAGGAATGACTCTTGATCTGCATCAAATACACTGTGTCCTGCGAGGCTTGAATTTCGGGGTCGGGGAGGGGGAATTGGGGGGCAAAAGAGTATTGCGGACGTTGCGACTGTGGGATGGGAAAGTCAACCATTTTGAAGGAAAGATGGTGGGTTTTGTTGTTGTTGTTGTTGTCGTCGTCGTCGTTCTCCTTCCCCCGTTTCCTCCGTGAAAAGGTTTATGTTCCGTGTTTGGAGAGATTATTTTTCCTTATTAAAAAATCGAAAAAAAAGACAAATAAATAGTTGGGACTCTCAAGAACGATGGCAGTGTTGTCGCTTCATTGTTGAGGTTTTTCCAAAATAGTTTGTCTCTTCGAAAGCTGATGAATGGCTTCAACAAAATAACGTTTCTGTGACGTTTCCTGCTGGTTCTCTTGTTATATAAATATAACAATAAATACAATAAATTATATTTATATATAATCACATTTATTTATATCTATTATATCTATAAAATAATATATATATATAACGTTTCTGTGACGTTTCCTGCTGGTTCTCTTGTGATATAAATATAACAATAAATATAATAAATTATATATTTATATATATGATTTATAATTATTATATTATAATATATATATAATATATATTTATTTATATCATATCTATAAAATTACATATATAACAAAATATAATAATAAATATAATAAATAATATATAATTTATATATAATATATATATCTATAAAATTATATATATATATATATATAACATAAAATATAATAAATATAATATATAATTTATATATATTTATTTATATCTATTATATCCATAAAATAATATATATAACATAAAATATAATAATAAATATAATAAATAATATATAATTTATATATATTTATTTATATCTATTATATCTATAAAATAATATATATATAACATTTCTGTGACGTTTCCTGCTGGTCCTCTTGTTATATAAATATAACAATAAATATAATAAATTATATTTATATATATATAATTTATATATATATATATATATATATATATATATATATATATATATCTCAAATATTTATTTATATCTATTATAGCTATAAAATAATATATATATATAAAACAAAATATAATAATAAATATAATAAATAATATATATATAACGTTTCTGTGATGTTTCCTGCTGGTTCTCTTGTTATATAAATATAACAATAAATATAATAAATTATATTTATATATATAATTTATAATTATTATATTACATATATGTAATATATTTATTTATATCTATTATATCTATAAAATAATATATATATATATAACATAAAATATAATAAGTATAATAAATAATATATAATTTATATATAATATATTTATTTATATCTATTATATTTATAAAATAATATATATATAACAGAAAATATAATAATAAGTATAATAAATAATATATTATTTATTATTATAATATAATAAATAATATATAATTTATATATAATATATTTATTTATATCTATTATATCTATAAAATTATATATAACATAAAATATAATAATAAGTATAATAAATAATATATTATTTATTATTATAATATAATAAATAATATTTATTATTATAACATTTTATATTGTTGTTGTTATTTACATGTACATAACCACACAGCATACATGCACAATAAGTGTCTGGGATGCGTCTCTGAATATCGAGCTCTTCCCAAAGGCCTAGGATATTAGAGATATATTATTATTATTATTATTATTATTATTATTATTTAAATGTACATAACAACACAAGCACGTTAGGTCCAAGTGTCTGGGATTCATCTCTGAATATTGAGCTCTTCCCAAGGGCCTAGCATATTAGAGATATTATATATTATTATAATTAAATTATATGTTATGTATGTGTAAATAATAATAATAATAACACAGCCCACACGCACATTAGGTCCAAGTGTCTGGGATTCGTCTCTGAATATCAAGCTCTTCCCAAGGGCCTAGGATATTATTATTATTATTATTATTATTATTATTATTATTATTATTATTATGACTACTACTAGTAGTAGTAGTAGTATATTTTTCTATATTATATTATATTAAATATAATTATATTATATATTTTTATTTATTTATTTATTTACATGTACTTAACAACACAGCACCCATGCACATTCGGTCCAAGTGCCTGGGGTTCATCTCTCATATTCTAAGGGCCTAGGATATTATTATTATTATTATTATTATTATTATTATTATTATTATTATTATTATTATTATGCCATGTAGGGCTGGCTGTTAGTCCTGGGTTCAAATTGGGATCAAAAAGTTTTTCTATGTTTCTTTTTGGGCCTTGTTTTGACTGTCTGCAATGCTTAGCTACATCTTTTCTTGACCCCTCTGTGAACCTCAACCATCCCCATAGATATAGGGCAGGGACTGATCACCGAGTGGCCAAACTGGGGGAACTGGGGGCGAAAGAGCTTCTTCTCAAACCCAACAACTTGGCGGAGAAGTTTGCAGATTTTCACCAAGTTTGGAGAGGTGAGGCCCCTTTGGGGGAAATACTTTATCTATCTATCTATCTAACTATCTATCTATCTATCTATCTATCTATCTATCTATCTATCTATCTATCTATCTGTTATTCTATCCATCCATCCATCTATTATTATTCTATCTGTCTGTCTATCAATCTATCTGTTATTCTAGCTATCTATATCTATTTATCTTATCTAACTATTTATTTATCTATTATGAGTTGGACTGTCTGTCTGTCTGATCTATCTTTTATTCTATCTATTATTCTAGCTATCTATCCATCCATATTCCATCCACCCATCTATCTATCCATCCATCTTTTATTCTATCTATCCACCCATCCATCATTCTATCTATTCATCCGTCCGTCCATCTAGCTATCCATCCATCCATCAATCATTCTATCTGTCCGTCCATCCATCTAGCTAGCCATCCATCCATCCACCTGAACTATCTATCTATCTATCTATCTATCTATCTATCTATCTATCTATCTATCTATCTATCTATCTATCTATCTACCTACCTACCTACCTACCTACCTATCTATCTATCTATCTATCTATCTATCTATCTATCTATCTATCTATCTATCTATCTATCCATCTATCTATCCATTCACCCACCCACCTGAACTATCCATCCATCCATCCATCCTTTCAAACTATGTCTGTCCGTCCGTCCATCCATTGATCCACCTGAACTATCTATCTATCTATCTATCTATCTATCTATCTATCTATCCATCTATCTATCCATTCACCCACCCACCTGAACTATCCATCCATCCATCCATCCTTTCAAACTATGTCTGTCCGTCCGTCCATCCATTGATCCACCTGAACTATCTATCTATCTATCTATCTATCTATCTATCTATCTATCTATCTATCCATCTATCTATCCATTCACCCACCCACCTGAACTATCCATCCATCCATCCATCCATCCTTTCAAACTATGTCTGTCCGTCCGTCCATCCATTGATCCACCTGAACTAACTAACTATCTATCTATCTATCCATCTATCTATCCATTCACCCACCCACCTGAACTATCCATCCATCCATCCATTCAAACTATGTCTGTCTGTCCATCCATCCATTGATCCACCTGAACTATCTATCTATCTATCTATCTATCTATCTATCTATCTATCTATCTATCTATCTATCTATCTATCTATCTATCTATCTATCTATCTATCCATTCACCCACCCACCCATTTGAACTATTTATCTATCCATCCATCTAGCCATCCATCCATCCATCCATCCATCCACTTGAACTGTCTGTCTGTCTGTCTGTCTGTCTGTCTGTCTGTCTGTCTGTCTATCTATCTATCTATCTATCTATCTATCTATCTATCCATCCATCAATCCATCCATCCATCCATCCATCCATCCATCCATCATTCTATCTATCTATCCATCCATCTAGCCATCCATCCATCCACTTGAACTGTCTGTCTGTCTGTCTGTCTGTCTATCTATCCATTCACCTACCCATTTGAACTATTTATCCATCCATCCATCTAGCCATCTAGCCATCCACTTGAACTGTCTGTCTGTCCATCCATCCATCCATCCATCCATCCATCATTCATTCTATCTATCTATCTATCTATCTATCTATCTATCTATCTATCCATCCATCCATCCATCCATCCATCCATCCATCCATCCATCCATCCATCTACCCACCTGCCCACCCATCCATCCATCCATTCACTTGAACTATCTGTCCATCCATCCATCCATCCACCCACCCACCTGAACTATCTATCTATCTATCTATCTATCTATCTATCTATCTATCTAGCACTGAGATACTTCAAGTTGGGTCCAACGGCACCCATTCTGCAGTGTAGACCCACCTCACTTGTCTCTCCTTCACGTCCAGGTGTAAAAGGATGGAGAACGGAGAGGAGGAGGAGGTCTCGGGCCGGGGGGACGCAGAGGCGCGGAAGCCCCCCTATTCCTACGCAGCCCTGATTGCCATGGCCTTGGAAGGGAGCCCCGAGGGCCGCCTACCCTTGAAGGCCATCTACCAGGCCATCTCCACCCGCTTCCCCTTCTTCCGCCTGAGCCAGAAGGGGTGGCAGAACAGCGTCCGGCACAACCTCAGCCTCAACCCCTGCTTCGTCCGGACCCCCCGGGAAAGGGGCCAAGGCAAGAGCAGCCTCTGGAGCCTGGACCCGGCCTACCGGGGCACGTTCAAAGGAGGGCGATACCGGAGACGGAGACGGAGACGCAACCAGGGGCCGCCCAACCCTCCTCCTCCACCTCTGGTTCACCCAGAAGCCCACCCAGGACCCCCTTATTTCCTCCCAGCTCCACCACCTCAGCCCTACTTCTTCTCTACGCCCCCTCCGGTGGGCACACCACAGCCCTACTATGCGTCCTATCCCCGGGTCCTCTTCCCCGGAGGAGGACAACCCTTCATGCCCGAAGGATCTTTCCAACCATCTTGGAATTGGCAGGAAGGGGTCTACTACCACGGAAGCCTTTCTCCCTAAGGAAATGGGTTGCAGAAAGTCAAGGTCCTAGTCCTCTGCGAGGAAAACTCTCAAGCTAGGCCTACACCAGGCATGGGTCAACTTCGGGCCTTCCACCAGGTGTTTTGGACTTCAACTCGCACAATTTATTAGGAATTGTGGGAGTTGAAGTCCAAAACACCTGAAGTATTTGTCAACTTACCCAAGTATGGGTAAGTATGGGCCCATAACCCAAGTATGGGTAAGTATGGGCCCATAACCCAAGTATGGGTAAGTATGGGCCCATAACCCAAGTATGGGTAAGTTGACCAATACTTGGGTTATGGGCCCAGGATCTCCATGAAAGTTAAACACTTGGAGGGCCAAAATTGACCCATACTTGGATTATGGGCCCAGGATCTCCATGAAACACTTGGAGGGCCGAAATTGACCCATACTTGGGTTATGGGCCCAGGATCTCCATGAAAGTGAACCACTTGGAGGGCCAAAATTGACCCATACATGGGTTATGGGCCCAGGATCTCCATGAAACACTTGGATGGCTGAATTTGACCTATACTTGGGTTATGGGCCCAGGATCTCCATGAAAGTGAACCACTTGGATGGCCGAAATTGACCCATACATGGGTTATGGGCCCAGGATCTCCATGAAACACTTGGAGGGCCAAAATTGACCCATGCTCGGGTTATGGGCCCAGGATCTCCATGAAAGTGAAACACACCTGGAGGGCCGAAGTTGACCCATGCTTGGGTTATGGGCCCAGGATCTCCATGAAAGCATAGCTCAAAGACCTAAACATTCCTAGAGAGACCTATATTCTCTCAGGTTACAAAATGCAGCAATGTTTATATTTTCACTTCCATGGGGATCCTGGGCCCATAACCCAAGCATGGGTCAACTTGAAAGCTAGTTCTGTGTTTTCGTAAGAGTTAAGTTGCCTAGGCATGTCAAGAGTTCTGGATTTTGCAAAGGTTGGAAGGGAAGGGATAAGTCTTCGAATCCCAAAGAATTGAGCTGTTTGGAAATAGGAGTTGCCAACTTATTACCTTGGCTCCGGTGCCTCTGCTCTTAACCGATTATATTTGCCTGTATGTTATGGAAATCTATATATATATATATGTATTCTTTGTGTGTTATGAACAAATGTTTACATTATTTGGGAGTTGGTTGCATTGCAATTTGTTACTCTGCGTTTTGTTTTTTTATGGAAAATAAACTCATTTGTAAACAATTGGAGCTGTTCGTCTCTCTACTGGGATGTTTTTCCCCCTTTGCCCAGAATAGTATTAGTTATTAGTATATCAGGACCAGCTAACACCTCCCAACAAAGGATTCCCCAGGCAGGAAGCAGCTAGGATTTGAAGCTGCAAGGCCATTCAGTGCTAACCAAGGTGGCCAATTGCAACATTCACACTTGCCTCCCAACAGAAAACAGCAATGTGAGTAGATGAAAAGGAACTGCATTAAGCCTTGCAGCTTCAATGCTTGGCTGATTGCTGCCTGGGGGAATCCTTTGTTGGGAGGTGTTAGCTGGCCCTGGTTTATTATTGACAAAAATGGGAATTCCAGACAAGAATCAATCAGGGCCAGCTAACGCCTCCCAACAAAGGATCCCCCCAAGTAGGAAGCAGCCAGGCTTTGAAGCTGCAAGGCCATTCAGTGCTAATCAAGGTGGCCAATTGCAACATTCACACTTGCCTCCAACAGAAGACAGCAATGTGAGTAGATGAAAAGGAACTGCATTAAGCCTGCAGCCTTGCAGCTTCAATGCCTGGCTGATTGCTGCCTGGGGGAATCCTTTGTTGGGAGGTGTTAGCTGGCCCTGGTTGATTCTTGACTCAAAAAATGGGAATTCCAGACAAGAATCAATCAGGGCCAGCTAACGCCTCCCAACAAAGGATTCTCCCCAGGCAGCAACCAGCCAGGCTTTGAAGCTGCAAGGCCATTCAGTGCTAATCAAGGTGGCCAATTGCAACATTCACACTTGCCTCCAACAGAAAACAGCAATGTGAGTAGATGAAAAGGAACTGCATTAAGCCTGCAGCCTTGCAGCTTCAATGCCTGGCTGATTGCTGCCTGGGGGAATCCTTTGTTGGGAGGTGTTAGCTGGCCCTGGTTGATTCTTGTCTCAAAAAAATGGGAATTCCAGACAAGAATCAATCAGGGCCAGCTAACACCTCCCAACAAAGGATCCCCCCAAGCAGAAAGCAGCCAGGCTTTGAAATGGATTGAAAACAGCAATGTGAGTAGATGAATAGGAACTGCATTAAGCCTTGCAGCTTCAATGCCTGGCTGATTGCTGCCTGGGGAATTCTTTGTTGGGAGGTGTTCGCTGGCCCTGCTTGAATCTTGTTTCAAAAAATGGGAATTCCAGACAATCAGGGCCAGCAAACACCTCCCAACAAAGGATTCCCCCAGCCAGGCTTTGAAGTGGATTGAAAACAGCAATGTGAGTAGATGAATAGGAACTGCATTAAACCTTACAGCTTCAATGCCTGGGTGATTGCTGCCTGGGGGAATCCTTTGTTGGGATGTGTTAACTGGCCCTGGTTGATTCTTGTATCAAAAAATGGGAATTCCAGACCATCAGGGCCAGCTAACACCTCCCAACAAAGGATCCCCCAGGCAGCAACCAGCCAGGCACTGAAGCTGCAAGGCCATTCAATGCTAATCAAGGTGGCTAATTGCAACATTCACACTTGTCTCCTATACATACATACATACATACATACATACATATATATATACCCCCACTTGCCTAGTTTCCAACAGACCTCACAACCTCTGAGCATGCCTGCCATAGATGTGGGCAAAACGTCAGGAGAGAATGCTTCTGGAACATGGCCATGGAGCCTGGAAAACTTACAGCAGAAAATACTAACAGTCTTGGTAAACTCCTGCTCCGAGAACCGAAGCATGTAACTGTTACCAAAACTCCCAGGCTCAGCTAGCTTCTCAGCTTTGTGCTTTGCATTTTTCAGTTAACTTGCTTCGACAACAGAGGAGATAAAAAAATAGTAAACAGATTTGCTCCCGGAACATGGTCAGACAGCCTGGAAAACTCACAGCAACCCAGTGATTCTGGCCATGAAAGCTTTCCACAACACAGTATGACTTATTGATTATGTATTTCCAATGAATTAACTGATCTATTGTATTATTCCTTGCAGCCACTAGGTGGCAATGTTGGACTACTCTACATTGCCTTTGCAGCCTTAAGTATTCTACTCCATCAATTGCAAAAATGACCCCTAATTTCAACAGAAATATAATAATATAATTAATATAGTAAATACTATAAGTAATATATCATTATAATATAATGGATAAATATATTTATATTTAAAGTTTATTCTTTTAGTAATTTATATTCTTTATTTTATTATAATATTAATTATTTTAATAGTTTATATTAATAATAATATAATTACATAATTAAATAAATATAATAATATAATATAATATAAATAATCATTTACGATTCTAATATGCTCCCCAAGTTTCGAAGTGTTTACATGGGGGGAAAGTGCATCTTAGAATGGAAGAAATACATTGCCTTTGAAGCTACTACTCAATCAATTGTGAAATGGCACTAATTTCAATACCACCAACAGAAATATAATAATATAATTTAATATAATTAATATGATATATAAGCCTTAAGTGTTCTACCACTCCATCAACTGACACTAATTTGAATACCACCCACAGAAATATAATTAATATAACATATAATATAATTAATATAATAACATTATAATATAATTAATATCATTAATAAATATAATTAATATAATATCATTATAATATCATTAATATAATTAATCAATATAATTAATATAATATTATAATATCATTAATATAATTAATACATATAATTATATTTCTATTTTAATAATTTATATTATTTATTTTATTTTGCTATAATATTAATTATTTTAATAATAATAATATAATTAAATAAATATAACATATTAAATAATATAATATAATCATCTAGGGTTCTAATATGCTCCCCATGTTTCGAAGAGTTTTTACATGGGGGGAAAGGGTATCTTTATAATATAATTAATAAATATAATTATATTTCTATTTTAATAGTTTATATTATTTATTTTACTTTACTATAATATTAATTATTTTAATAATTTATATTAATAATAATATAATAAATTAAATAAATTTAACATATTAAATAATATAATATAATCATCTACAATTCTAATCTGCTCCCCATGTTTCGAAGTGTTTACATGGGGGGAAAGGGCATCTTAGAATCGAAGAAATACTACTACTCCATCGGGTTGTTGTAGGTTTTCTGGGCTATATGGCCATGTTCTAGAGGCATTTTCTCCTGACGTTTCACCTGCATCTATGGCAAGCATCCTCAGAGGTAGTGATGCTTGCCATAGATGCAGGCAAAACGTCAGGAGAAAATGCCTCTAGAACATGGCCATATAGCCCGGAAAACCTACAACAACCCAGTGATTCCGGCCATGAAAGCCTTCGACAATACAGTACTACTCCATCAATTGCAAAATGACAGTAATTTCAATACCACCCACAGAAACATAATTAATATAATATATAATATAATTAATATAATATATAATATAAATAATATAATATAATTCATATAATATATAATATAATTCATATAATATCATTATAATATAATTCATATAATTAATAAATATAATTATATGTCTATTTTAATGATTTCTATTATTTAGTTTATTTTCCTATAATATTAATTATTTTAATAATTTATATTAATAATAATATGATCGCATAATTATTCATTTATTTGGTAGTTTTGTATACCGGTCTTCGCACCTCCATTCGAGGGACTCGGGCCGGTTTCCAACATCAATATTACAGACCGTCATTAAAACATCATATTCCTAAATCACACTAAAACACGAAAACATTGAAACAATTAAAATGGCAAAAATACAATCATATGATTACAGTGGTCAGTCGTCATCAAAGTCATTATTCGTCGTCATCCATCCATATCACAGGATCATGGCTCATTCGTTGAATGCCAATCCCCAAAGCCAGGTTTTCACCTGTTTCCTGAACGTTAAGATCG